TTTTAATTGTTTTTATTTTTAATAAGTATTGCTCGCTTTATTAACAAATGTAACCCCTTACATATTATGTAAATTTTAATTGTTTTTAATCATAATAATAAAACAATTCAGCGAATATTGCTCGCTTTACTAACAAATATATATATTGCATATGTCCATTTCAATGTTTTTTAATTACGATATAAAAATTTTGCAAATATTAACTGTTCTTGGTATGAAATTCATGGTTGCAATGTGGCCTTGCTTTGTTACAGCATAAAGGAACATCGCATTCATAGCACCACATATTTGTTTGTGGTGGGTTTTTTTTATCAATTTGTCTTTTGTTTTGACTTGCAAGATAACGGCACCAAATGCATGCTTCTCTTTTTTGCCGCCATTCTAAAAAATGATTTCCAGGAACATGTCGACCTACTGGAAGTTGATAATTTTTATTAATATGAACTGTACGTGAACTATTAGATTGCTGAGATCTTGTTCTTATATTAGACTCATCATGTGTAGCATCTTGTATAAGTTGCCAAATAAGACAATTTCGAAATTCTTTACTATTAAGTGGTATATCTCGATATTCAGAACTCAAATTCGTATAAATTATATGTGTATTAATAATTGATGTGTCTAATAACCAAAAAAAATAATGGAGGCCAGTTTCGACGGGTTGTAAGTTGTGAATGGTAATATGAACGTTTTTGGTCGGCAATATCGACACCTCCCATATGATGATTGTAATCATCAATAATTCTAGGAATTAACAACTGTTTCCGTGAAGAATTTCCAAAAATAGCCCTAACTTTTTGAGCATTTGAGCTAGTTTCACGAGGACGTCGACGTAAACGTTGAATTCGAGATTCACTACCAGTAATTCTATGAACTGTGCTTAACATAGTTACTGGCCCATTGTCGATCCAAAGAATAGCAAGCACATTATTTACAACTACACCCAATAGTGTATCCCATTCTAAAGACTTTTTATCTTGTAATTTTAATTCTTTTGGAAAATTGCAGAATTTGTACGGGTTGTTCCACAAGCACCAACACCTTTACTTCGTAAATAGTGAAATAATGGTATTGATGTAAAGTAATTATCCATATAAATTGTAAATGCATTTGTTTCAAGTGGAAGTTGATGTACTAGATAACAAACATGACGACCTATTTCACTAATACCCTGAATATGAGGTAAATAAGTTGGTTTCTCAACACGTGATGAAAAAGAAAATGTCCATGTATATCCTGAATCACAGAGCTAAAATTTTATAACCTTCAGGAGTAGGTTTAAGTTTCATATGCACAGTATGTACACTCCTTCCTGAGAAACGAACGATCATCTCATCAAGAGACATATTTGAGGCAGGTATATATAATCTCTTACATGCATCCTGAACAGCTGAAGCAAGTGGTTCAACTTTGGAATACCATTCTGAATGAGACCCGAGAGGGTCTGATATATGCAAGTAACGTTTGATTTGCTCAAATCGTTTTAATGTCATTAAGTTTGCAATATGATGTTTTGGTTGTTGATTATTTTTGTTCCAGAGAAATTCGTGTGATGAAATTCCATGAGTACCCATATATATAATAATTGCAAGCCAAATTTTAAATTCATTAAAACTAAGAGCATTCCATGGCCATCCCAACGCTGCTAAATTTTGGATTGTATTATATTTATTAGTTGATTTAACTATTTTTTTTAAAGAATTAGTTGAAAAGAACTCATAAAATAACATTAAAGGTGTAATAGTTCCAATTAAATAAAAACGTTTAGGAAGATTTAAATGTCCTTTTTCACGAAGTGGATAGTTATGTTGTAAGGGTATAAAATTTAATGGCCCAGACGAATTTACTTGTTGTCTAATTTCTGTTGTAAAAATATCACTATGGTTGCTTTCAGATCTACGTAACCTTTTTCTTCCTTGTTTTTGACCTTTAACAGATGAACCATTTTGAGAATTTGATATTTCTTCTTCGATATGCAACAAATCGTTATCATTAGCTAGAGCTAAATTGTCAACGTCCATCAGAAAATTATTCATCAAAAGTTCATCATGGTTTTTTCGTGAAAAACATACACCAAACTCGCTTTCATCAAATTCTGATGAGTTATCCGATTCATTACCATTTTCTTGCTCATGCTGGACTACAGTATCATTCATCAAAACTACTATTTTAGCTATTTACGTACTTCAAAAGAAAATATGGTCGTATATCACTTTATGTATTAATACTTAAATGACAAGCGAAGCAAAAAAAATTTATTAGAATATACATCTAATATACGTAAATTAATAAATGTATCTTTCATTTGTAATAATTACATAAATAATAATTAATTTATCACTTAAAATATATTAATAATAAAAAGGTTAATTTATTAAACTAATATCTATTAATGATAATCTATATTTAATAATAATATATTGTCCTTTTATTAATATTAGTAATTAACTCATCGGTTATAAATTATTATTACAATCTGAGACCTAATGATTGCCTCCGAAATTTCATTTCCGCACGAGATAATCATATAGTTTCTAGAGGCCCCCAAAAAGTAAATAACGAATTCAAAGGACACAAGGTCCACATACTGCCAAAAATAATATTGGTGAAAAGCTCTCGAATAGGAGATTCGGTTTGCTTATGATATCATATACCTTTAAATTACAACTTATATACGATCTGTGCGAAAAAGTGCATTGTGTCAAAAAGTCGCAGGCAAATTTGCCTGTAAGACGGTGTAAGGGATAATGATATGAATATACTTGACATCACTACTATAACTTGGTCAACCACAGTCCCTTAATTATGATGCCTATCCTGCTATATTATTACCAAATAGTCTTATTATTTATATTGGTGGGCGCGCGAAGGTTCAAATTATAATCATATTAATATGAACTAGGTATGATCTGGTTAATATTAATGTTTAAAATTTTCCTTTATTTAATTCTAAAAACCAAATGTAGATTCTAACATATGATACTAAATCCTACACCTGGTCTACTAAAGTAATGTATAATTAACTATTATTTTTGTTGTTAAACCTAATTATTTTTTGTTCTTGTTAGATTGCCAGGGTTCTACTGTCTCACCTCGTGTTGGACATTCTACTGTTTTAAGTAAGCTGAACTTAATAGTGTCAATAAAAATTATATATATATATATATATATATATATATATTACTGAATATTATTTATTTTTTGACAGCCCAAGATGGAAATATTATTCTATATAGGGGTGGGAATGTTAAATAGACTAGCTACTTCAATATATATTTTCAGACCTCGAAATATTAAATACAAATACCTGGATCTGGTCTGTTCCAAGTGTTTCTGGAACTAATGCTTCTCCATCACTTACATTTCATTCTGCTGCATTATATAAAAATTATATGATTATAGCATTTGGTAATTACTTTATTTATTTATATTGCCATTAAATTTATTAATTTATTAATAACCTTGATATACTCAGGACAAACTATAGTAACAGGTTCACGCATTGATAGAATTTATCTTCTTGACATATGAAATTACAACTGGGTTACTTCAGCAGATCTAGTACCTACTGCAACAAGCCAACCAGAAACTACTCAACAAAATAACAATTTATATGTTGGAATTGGTATTAGTGTAGGTGGAATTATTTTAGTTGGATTATTAATTACTGATGGATTTCTGATTTATAAAAAACGATCTCAAGAATCTATTATAACATTGGGAACGCCTATGACTAAGAGTATTCGTGAAGCACATTAGTCTGTAGTATCGTGAAGCACATTCGTCTGTAGTTCATATATAAAGGCATGCATTATTCTAATCTATAATGCTTAAAATAATAGTGTCTGAAATATTTGATGAATAATGCGATTAACATGACGATAAATTGTCATAAAAAACTTGACAATAGAAATATTAGAAACTAAATAATTATCTTGTCCCTGTAAAAAATTTTTTCCGAATATTTCTGTTATTTTTCCATATTTTTTGTGAAAATTCCGTGAATCTGCAACATGATCGACAAAATCTAGACAAGCCATGATTTAAGGTTATAAATACCGTGAATATGCAACATTTATGGACAAAACACGGAATATAAAACACGGGTCGACTTTTTTTATAGGGTGTACATTATAAATATTACAATAATATATAAAAATTTTTACCCTTTTTCTCTCTGATAATCTAATCGATACAATAAAGTCACTTGAACAATACTCGCTTCCGCTTGCTTTAATCATTTTAATGGTTGCGATTCGTTTTAAATCGCATATTAGCTCTCCCGAAATTGTAGCAACGGCCTTTGTCAATAGGCTTGCAAATCACCGGGCTTGTCCCTGTTCATCCCGTATCTTATTCTCAACATCACCTAAAGTCTGGTTTGTAATGTAATTCATGAATTATTGGGCCAGTAATGATTTTAACAAGTCATTATAAAAGATAGTTCTTTAGAATATGTGGTACCATACAATGAAATCATTTTATTTTTTACTTAACTCTATTGAGCTAAAGACTAAAATACTGTATATGCAAAATATCTCTTTATGTTCTTTCTGACTTTTCTAATTATTCAAAGTTTTAATCACGCTATTCGTAAATCGTCCCAGACGAATGCAGCAGAGACCGACAAAATTTTGGATCCAAATAAACCCAAACTTTTTCAAATTTTTTAACGTTAACTAAAATTTTTTTATTGCTCTTTGCAAAAAGATGTGTCATGCGGGAATCGGAGATTCTATCGATTTTAAAAATTTCATCGATTTTGAAGAAATATAAGCGTAACCGATCAAAAATATAAAACACATACAATCTAAAATCTCAGAAATTTTCCCTGATCATCATTACAAAAATTATATGACCACAAAGTGTTATAATTAGAGTTTACAAATCTTGGTTGGTTAGAATTTTGAACTAAAACTTATAATATTTCTTTTTACATGACAGATACTCTTCAATTTACAAATTCATCCATTACACTTTTATATGAATATGATTTTTATTGAGTCTTAATTTAGCCATTATCAGACATAAGATTTTAGATATATTGATGTCTTAGAAAAAGATTTTATCTCTTCCGTTTTTATATAATAGAAATAAATGCAATCTTCAGATATACATGGTTTCATGACAAATAAATGCAATCTTCAGTGTATAATATTTGGAGAATAATCATCAACTTTAAGTCAAAAAATGTTGAATATTATCTATTTTGATAAAAAAAATTATTTTCCGTTCTTGAGGCACAGTTTGTATTTGTACCTAATGCTCCGATCGGGTTGACCCGAACAACCCGAAACCAACCCAGTTATAATAAATCTATTAGGTGGGTCATGACCCATA